AGATGGGGTCGGTCTCTACTATCCAGCGCAATCCAGTACGCAATAACGCGAGATGAAACAAGTTTGGTTCATCGAGGCTCGATGATCTAGCTGGGTGAGTTGAGTCGCTCAAGTCAACACTCAAGTCGAGTGTTGATCTTTTCTGAACTGAATAGTACAGACTGTACTGTACAGTAACTGTACTACAGTTGTTATATACATTTGCCACTTCACTCTCCCAACGCAACACGAACCATGGAGACGGAAGCTTTCGTGATCGTCGACGGTTACTTGTAGATCCGCTAACAATGCCAACGAGTCACGGAAAGAAAGAAGAGCCATTCGTAACCAATAAAGCCTGTAATAGCCGCTAAGCTGGCGAGTCACAGACCGTAGGCTCAACAGTTTGGTCATAGACCTTGTAATAAGGGTCGGGAAAGAGTAGAGATATCAATGGCTATCAGCATGGTTGATATCGAATATTGGTGAGATCTGATCTCAACTAGACGTCATGTCTTCTGACATACGACATGTCGGCTTTATCGTAGGCTTTGGCCCTATCGTAGGCGCTGGCCCTATCGTAGGCGCACCACCACATTTACAGGAGATATGAGTACCCTGGCAAACATCTCCACCGGGACTAGGTTGGTAAGCAGCCTTGCAATAGGAGCCGGGATTACCAGTTCGCTTCCGACAAAAAGCATCACCATCAGCACATGGAGTGGGCGGTGGTGGTGGCGGTGGTGGTGGCGGTGGTGGTGGCGGTGGTGGTGGCGGTGGTGGTGGCGGTGGTGGTGGCGGTGGTGGCGGTGGCGGAGGCCTGGTGCAAGAGCAGGGGGTGTCAGTTCCCTGGCAGACTCTGTGACCTTGATAGAACTTGCAGTACGAACCGGGATGCTCACGCCGACACTGAGCATCCCCTGTGGGACAAGAGGACGGCCCACGAACCAAAACGGCCAGGCAGGAGTACAGACCAACAATGAAGCGCATGATTGCGTTGAACAGCTGGAGAGAGATTCAGGAGTGACACGAGTCCATCATCAGGTCGCACCTGCGTGATTGCGTGAATGGTTTGGGCGCGCTCATTCAGGGGCCCCCACCCCTGGCGCGCGCTGATGCCATCATGGCATATGTTGAAGCT